TGTATCTTAATATGATGTGCCAGTGTTATTTACCAGTTCTCCCCATTTGGGGAGCCCATACACACATATGGGTAAGAGACAAAAATTGCTCAGTCCATGCAGCCACTATTAAACCGGCGTCGATATTACAATTACTCGCCCTCTCTCATTGCAATAGGGAAGGTTAGCACCCCCTGAACCACGTGCTTTTTTCTATTTCAGACGAGAAGACCTACGCTTTGATCCCAGCCAAAAGATCTAGAAGCATTATTTTACCTAACCTGTGTAAAAAAAAGAAGGAAACCCTGAGAACAGCCAAGAAGCAGTGTGTAGGTATTGATCCATGCCTGCATAGCAACCAAAGGTCCTGGAGTTTAAGGTGACGCTTCCTGGAATCTATAAAAGATTGCTCAATCCCTCTTCGGGAACGCCAGGTACAGAAAGAACCCAGAAGACAGGCCTTGCTTGCAGATATGAACCCCTTGGTGGAGGTATATTCATTTCAAACTATTCCAAGCCCCGTGCTGCAAAGCAATATGTAAACAAATGTCATTGCTTCTCACTGAGCAGCTTCTGGATGCAAGCACGACTAATTGAGATCTTCTGAATACTCCATCCATTTTTACTCATGGTGTCTTATACTGTGGTCACTAATCTTCATCTCCCAATTATGGCTGACGGCGATTATATATGTGTATATAACAGTAGTTTGCCAGTTCCTTTTGTACCTGGGATGTTGAGGTGACTCTCAAAGTTTAAAGAGGCAGGATCTACAGCAGGTGGTAGAAGAGTTTTTCTTCTAGAGTGGTTGCCAACCAAGGCACTCCATGGGGATTTCATGTTTCCCCCAATGGTACTGAGCACAAAAAAAAAGGATGAATGTAAGAGCATCCAATGAATGACTAATGCCGCACCCAGAGTGGTTAATCAATTTACTCAACCATATCTCTTGCCATAGAATTTTAGAAATTATTTTGGATATGTACAAGTGCAATGTTATGCAGCAAACCTTGGGTTTGCAGCAACTGTTCATGCAACCAATAAAAAAAAAAAAAAAATTTTAGTCGATTAGTGACATCAAATTTTAGTCCAGATTGATAGCACTCAGGATGGTGCTATTTCAGTGCAGGAACAAGCAATCAAAATTAGTCATTTCATCAGGTAAACAATCAAATCTTTACTTTCAAAACATCAAGACTGACTACATGAGAAACGGTTTTGGAAATATCTGAGAAGGGAATGCTGAAAAGTTCTCGACCCAACAACAGACTGATTCGTTTGCAGGGCATGCTGCAAAACGAAGTTGGTAATTTGCTAACAGACCCCACCCCCTTGATAATGGCCAAATTTTATGAAAATTATACTGAAAAGAGACTAGAATTCGGGTAATGGGGGCATAAAGGCGCAAAAGTGAAAGAAAAGTTAATCACAGAAGAAAGATTTGTTGCTGTAATGTATCAATTTTCTGGTGGCTGTGTATACGCTAAAACCCATCTGTAGAAGAAAATCGTTCAGAAAAAAAAACTCATTTTCTTCATAATCAAAACCGACGAGCCGGTTTCACCTAAACAAGTCAGCTAGTAAACAGTTTCCTCAGAATAAAAGAAACTGAAGGAGTGAGAGAAAGAGGAAAAGTATTTGGAATGATAAATTTCAACTTCATTTTGCGCATGCGTACGATGGGATAGATTCAAACGTTAAAAGTCCATAATGCTTTTCTATTAGTTTTAGATATACAGGAAAAAAAGTAACACAAGAAATCTCAAAGCGCGGTTAGAAGAAAATCCAATAGTTTCGTTTAACAAGCAGACGATAATCAACGAAGTCTCGAACCCTAAGGCCACCTTGCAGTGCCTGGTGAACTGAACACAAACCGGGTTGGGCTGGGTTACAAAACCTGACGACGTTGGTCGAGCCGAGAACTTTTCAGTCATACAGTGTTACTAATTGGGATGAAATTAGTATATATAATTCTGGGTTAGATTTAAAGTCCATTCGATTGTTTACTAGATTTCAATAGAGAGCAAAAACGGAAAATAAACACATGAAAATATTTTAATATTTTTTTTTTTTTAATTTGGTTCAGATATCGACAAAGAAAAGGAAAAAAAAAAAAAAAACAAAACACATAAATAAGTGGTTTTTTGCCTCATGGTATGCAAAGAATACACACAGACAGGAGGTGGGGAAGCAGGAAAAGGGTGGGGGATAAAACTTTAGTGTTTTCTACTAAAGTGAAGAGAGGAGTGACTTTGAGAGGAAAAGATTTTATTAGTGATGGGTTGGGGGGAATTGCCGAGACTGACCAATAAATAAGATGTCAAAATGCATTTTTTTTTTTTAAGTTTTTATTTTTAAAAATCAATAAATATTTTTTTTTATAATTTAATACAATAATAGACAGTAAAAACGGTCCTACAAAAAATAATTGCTCTTATCTTCGAAGCATTTTTTTTTCTTTTGAAGGGGGAGTAGATGACAATTAAGGTGTTCGTCTATTGAAGAGAGGGGGACAGGATCTTATATTTTCTTTTCATCACTCCCACACTTTATTGCATTTTTAAGAGTCAGGAGGTATTTGTGCCCTTCAGACAATAAGTTGATTAAGGGGGCAACTATTAATTGAGGAAGAAATTCACGAAGAAGTTTTACCCGAAAAAAAAAAAAAAAAAAAAAAAAAAATCGATTTTAATTTTTGTAATCAAATCTAGTCCCCTCCCTAAAAGTTTTGAAGTTGATGGCTTTGACAGAAAGAGATGGTAAAAACTAGGAAGTTAGCAATAAATTAAAAAATAAATAAATTAAATAGGAAAAAAACTTTAATTTAAATTTCTCTGCATTTTTTTTTTTCTTTAAAAAGCAAAAAAAATGTTTACTCATTGGCAGGAATTACTCGTGGCCTGCAACGAAAGAAGTTTTTTTTTTTTTGTTTATTTTTATTTGTTTTTTTTTTTTAAGCCAAATAAACTTTAGTCTTTTTTTTTTTTTTTTAATTATTGGTCCAAAGACCAAAGTTTAATTTGGAATTAATAGTAATAATAATAATAATATAAGTGGCCCTTTAAGGTTTTTGCATTTTCTAGAGAGATCATATTTTTAATAAACATAAGCCAAATAGTCCTGTAACCAGTCGAGGAAGGGATTTTTTCAAAGTTCTGCATTCGAATATAGATAAGTGTGGGTGTAGATAAGTAGAACAAAGTTCACATCTTTTAAGAATTTCTTAGTTAAGAAAATGGGGTTTTTTTTTTTTTTTTTTTTAACACTGCAGAACACCGGTACAAGGCCAGGAAGTGATTCATATTCCAATCCTACACCCTAAGTTACCTAAGGGGGGAAAAAATAAAGGGGGTGTAGGAGGGGGGTAGTAATAATCTATACATATACATACATGTCAAAAATATAATTTTAGAAGCTTAAAAGTCAAGTTGGTCCCAGTAGCTCGTAAGGAGAAAAAAAAAAAAAAAAAAAAAAAAAAAAAAAAAAAAAAAAGAAAAAGAAGCAGGTGTATACATAGTTAAAATGCCATTAAAAAAATTCCCACACAACACAAGACTAAAATAAACAGAAAACTAAATTGCACACACAAATTAAAGGTTTAAAGACTACAAGTTTTAGTTTTTTTTTTTTTTAAATAAGGAAAAAAAAAAAAAAAAAAAAAAAAAAAAAAGAGTTTAAGGGTAGGGTCTTCACAAAAATGTACAAAAATCCTGAGGTGACAATGGCCACCTGAGAAGTTAAGAATTTAGATACAGTAGGTGTGTGTGTATATATATATATATATATATATATATATATATATATATATATATATATATATAACACACACAATCAGTCAATGTTTGGCAGAAAAAAGCATAACTAGAAATTGAGGCACTTAGGAAGAGAATTTTTAAAAGTTCATGGACAAAAAGTGTTAATTATATGCACCATATATTTTAAAAAAAAAAAAAAAAAAAAGTCCAATAGGCACTTTTTGTATAGGTCCTAAAAAAAAAAAAAAAAAATCCACACTTCTTCCATATTAAGTTTTCCTTTTTATTAAAAAAAAGAAATGAAAATTCATAAGTTAGAAATAAATAGCCTTTTTAGAATAAATTAAAAATTAAGAAGCATTTTTTTTTCCCCAAAATGGAAAATATTTGATTTTTTTTTTTATAGTATTTTTTCTTTTTCCTGTAGGTGGAATGATAAACTAATAATCTGATTGATGGATAAGCAAATCCACTTATTTTGGTGGGATATAAAATGAACATTTAGTGATACTGGAAGGAAAAAAAAAAAAAAAAAAAAAAAAAAAAAAAAAAAAGGCACTTTTTAAATAAGTTTACATTCATGGAAAAAAGGTTGCGTATTGGACAATACGTCCATTTTAGCACCAAGAATCTTTGTCGCCAATTTAATTTTTAAAAAGGTCATCAAGTACACTTGCCTTTTAGTGGGAACCTTATAAAAAGAATGGAAGTTGGACCCTTAAAAAAAAAAAAAAAAAAAAAAAAAAAACTGAGCTCGATTGGAATGTCATAATTGACTTTCAGCAACAAGTTTTTAGAAAACGCTAGAAACGTTTTTTTTTTTTTTTTTTAACAAACCTGTTTTGGAAATATGTATTTACCTTACCTATAGCAAGTGTTCTTGATCTTTTGAAAACTGCCTCCCAACCCTTATAGGTTTGAAGAATTAAATTTGGATTGGCGGCAAATGTATGGAAAGGTGGGTGAAGACATTACTTTAAAACATCTAAAAAAAAAAAAAAAAAAAAAAAGATCATGCTAATAAACTTAACTTTGAACGGATTATTTCAAGTACAATGTACTTGCCAACTCAATTTTTTTCTTACATAGATATGAAAATTAGAGAAATCTATTTATGATTAAAAACCACTGTTAATTATTAAAAAAATGGCTAAAAGCCTAAAAAGTTTCGATAAACATTTTTTTCTTTCCCTTGAAAAAGGGAGTTAATTCACCTACGGTAAAAAAAAAGAAAAGAAAAAAAAAGGAATTTAATGTCCTAAGAGTTTAATCAGACGTCTGCAAGAGAGAACCACCATAATCTAGGAGGCCGCCAAATGCCCATTCATGGCTATACGAGAGCTTAGAAGTACCGAAACCTTTTTCCGCAAAGATGCTTCCATCTTGGATGAAGTTTGACCTATCGTGAATTTTTTCCTCAAGAAGAAAACGGTCAGGCAGGTGAAACTGGTTCGTTGTGGAAAGGTCAGATGGATACTTCGAAATGGTCAATAAATCGAAGGCATTGGTAACGCCACCTGTTATGTAAGTGAGCAGTCCATCAAGGGTGGTCCCAGAAATAGACGTAGAACTGGAGGAGGAAGACAGCGGTGTGGAAGAGGAAGAAGAGGAGGATGGTGACGAGGACAAGTTATAAGTTGTGGAAAAATCTTCACCAAAAAAGAGGGGGCTCAAGCTGAGTGTCGGACTGTCTGTTACGCTGGACGGAGGGGAGTCTGCGGTGGAACCCAAGGATGAAGAACTGATGGAAGTAAACTTCGATTTTGGCTTCATGCCAAAGCTTAAATTGCCGCCGCTGCTAGTATTGTTGTTGGCGAATGAAGTACCGGTTGGAGACATCTGAGCCTGAAACAGTGGGAGTGTTGGAGAGTGCTGTGGGGACAAACTCGAATTTGACGAAGTACCATGTTGGTTGTTTTGATTGCTGTTCTCTTTCATCACAGTACTCTGATTAATATTGGCTGGGTTTCCGCCAGAAACGTTGGTGGGACAATTGTTTGGCGATTGTGTGTTCTTTCTTTCGTATTCGTTGTGAATGAAATGGCACCTTGGGCCGTAGGGGCAGAAACCACTCGAGTGGTAGGTACGACAGGGTTCAGTCTTATATTTCGGGTGTCTGGCTGGTGTGCGTAGTTCTGTGTTACCATGGGCGTAACGACACTTTTCTCCGTATTTACACTGCCGGCTCTCGTCGAACGACCGACACAGCTCAGTCTTGTATTTGTTTGAGTTAATGTGGTTCAATTGATTCTGACTTGAAGCCATGCGAGTGTCAGAAGGCTCACTAAGACTCCGATCAAACTTTAGGTTATTTGATGTACTCAGCGAGATCATGTTGGACGACTGGTGGGCGCTGTTCATGCGAAGATACGGCGGCGGTAAGACTGTAGAATTGGAACATTTCCGACTTCGAGCATTGTCCACGGGTCCACCAACAGCTTTGCGGTCAACCGTCGATGACCGGATGTGAGAATTTGTTTGATTCTGAAATCGATAAAGAAAGGTTTTGTTAAAAATGTGTATGGAATCATTAAAACAACTTATGGAATTTGAGTTTTAAAAAATACAACTATTTGTAGAAGTGGGGGGAATCAAACGTTTTTTTTTTTTTTTTTAGATACAAGATTTAAAATAAAAACTCTAGTCACAGATAAGCAACCCCGGTAAACAAGTCATTTTTAATTTATTAAAAGTTAAAATCCTTAAGTAGCTTATACTTGTCAATCCCGTACAATAGTAAACTTCAGAAAAATAAACGGCGTTTCAAAAATTTTTTTTTTTTTTTTTTAGCCATTACAAAGTTATCGAACAATAAAACATTTTCAGTAAAATCAGATCGTGCGTTGTTTTTTTCCGCAGGAGAAAAAAAAAGTGATATACAAGATATTGAATATCTAATTTTATTAGGTTGGTGCAAAAATAATGTTTTTTGACGTTCACCTTAACGTAAAAGACATTTTTGCACCACCCTAAATGCTGCAGGTACGAAAAGCAGTTAGCTTCAGTTTTTAGTAGTAGTAGTAGTAGTAGTAGTAGTAGTAATTCAATCCCCATTTAAAAAGGCGGGATCTTTATTCTTTACCATTTCCACGCCACCCTTTTACTAGTTTCGACCAAACAATCACTTGTCACAAGTCATTATTATGCTAAGATGGCCAGTAAATTTCCTTTCCTAAAATATAGGAGTAGTGTTCATATCGACCAACAAATCAAGGCATTTTTTTTTTAAATTTCATGGGGGGGGGGGAACGGGAATTGGGGGCACACCTGAACCAACAAAAATATTAAGTTTCCCGGGAGAGGTTGGTGAAGAGAAGCGACAAAGAAAAAATAAAATAAGTTCCCCCCCTCCCCCAAGAGGAAGTACTTGCTATAAAAAGGGAACTGGTTTAATTACTATAAGACTTAGGATCTAGTTAGGGGATTTAGAAATTGAATGGAGGGTGCAGTGAGGTAGAGGCTTCTAACCTGTCCTTTAAATTAGAAAAAGGTCTACAGACAAAAAGAAAAGAACTTTCTTTAGCGATATCGTTGCCGCAAAGTTAGTATCTTATCAATACACGTTCAAAATAATTCTACGTATCACATGTTTGGAATATGGTTACGTCCTGAAAAAAGTTATTTTTAGTTTTTAGAGGAAAATATAAGAGTGGATTAGTCATTTTAAACAGGAAAAATTAATATCACACACACAATTTAACACTACGTCACAAGTTTCATAGAAAGTGAGTATGGTCGAAACTAAAGCTAGCAGGGCAAGTTGAATAGAAAATGGAAATAGAGAAACCTTTACGTTGAAGGCAGCCAGTTGCGTTCTGACCGACCTAGTTTAAAAAAAAAAAAAAAGAAAAAAAATGGTCGAAAGCAGAGAGAAAATTAAAGACAGCCTGTCATAATTTGTTTTTAAACAAGCATGGAGATATCTTAACTTATATGACCAAATTATTTAACCTGTAATTAAGTATTATCGATATGGTCTATTTTTGTAGTACTGATCTAAAAAGAAAAAACAAACAGTCTGAAGACAAGCCCAACATAATTCAACTAAACCGGTTTTTCGATTAAAAATGTTTATAGCAAAGATGTTAAATATATCGTAAAGATATTAGAAACTTGTCAAAGTTCAGTTTTGTCGAGGTTGGTGGGTATGAAGTTTACAGCAATTTAGAAACTAAATATTTACGAAGATAATCTATTTGCTAAAACTGAATTTTTTACAACTGGGTGATAAGGAATATAGGCAAAGCGGAAAGTAACCAATTTGACGTGGTATTTCAGACTACAGATCATGTCACGTTACATCCGCCCGCCCGCCAAAAATGGTTTAAGTGACAATATACACGCCGACCATCTTTTTTCCTTTCCTTCATAAAAAAAAAAAAAAAAAAAAGTTGTGATTTGATTTATCCGAATCTTTACTAGTCAGAAAAGACAGTAACTAATTTTAAATTCCTCTGGGAGTGATATATATATATATATATATTTTTTTTTTTGCTTTCTTTCGGTCAAGGTAGCACTTTAAAAGTTATGTACTAAATTTCAAAAAGGAAAAGTGTCCGACCACGCCCTCTATATAAGACTAATTACCAAAAAGAAAAAGGCTACTCAGGATTTGTTTAGATTTAATTAAAACAAATTTCAAACTAGGACAGAAAGTTATATAACTGAACATATCCGACTAGGTGCTCTTAAAAGTAGGTTAAAAAAAATTAGATGTCAAGATGAGTCATCAAAGTCAACCTGTTTTTATGTGTGTAAAAAGATATTAACGATAATTGAACAGTTTTTATAATTACTTTAGATTTTAACATCTGGTCGAGTAGGCGAATTTGATCAGTCGAGTACACAATGCCTGACGCACATTTTCAATAAGTCAATTTATCTACTTGAATATACTTGATAAAAATAAATCAGGCTAGTTATGTGAAAATCCTCGAGAGATTATATATAGCAGGGAAGTTTTTTTTTCCTACGAAATGGAAAACTAAATTTAACTAGAAAATAACATCTTAAATGGAGTTGGCCAAGATCGACATTATGGAAACTTGAAACGAGCACCTTCAACGTTTTACAAAATAGAAATTGCGATGTATATCAAGCAAAACCGGTATAGTTTATGACTATAAGAACGAAGAACTTGCCATCTTTATTACGAGATTTTTACAACTGTCGAGACTTTATGGATCGGGTTAACACGTTTATAGAAGGTTGAACTTAAATTTAGTCAAATGAAGACCTGAAGGACGAAACGCGTCACAACTTTTTCCACTGTCATGAAATTTTCAATTACCAGTAAACTTTTTTATTTTAGCAGGTACACGTATTAGAGATGTTAAAGTTTTTATATAGGCAGGTTTACGAATTTGTCGAAAAACATGGAAAAAAATGCCCCAGGATAGCCGAAAATATTAAGTGTCAAATTCTTTGTTATTAACAAAACAAAAAACAAAGTATGATCATTTTAAATGTTGGATTAAATAAGAAAAGAAATCAAGATTACATATACGATTATCAACTTGAGAAGCAAAGGAAAAATAAATACCTATGCAGAAGGGGGGGTACAATCCGATAGAAAAGACCAAGTGAATGTCACTAAGCATGTTTTTAAACAATGAAAAGGAAAGAGAAAGAGAAAGAGGGGTGGAATAAGGGAAGCTGACTGACAACGAAAAAAAGGAGAGGTGGGGGGTCTATAGTAATTACAACGAAGAAAAAGCGGGGTCAACCTCATGTAGATATTTTGAAAGGTTTGTGAATTAAGTCACCCTAAAAATAAAAACAGATCGATTAATAGTATTACTTGCTATTTATACAGAAGCTAAAAGACATGGTTTTCATTTTAGGGACACATTAGGGCACAGTAGATTGTACAGGAAGTTAAAACAAAGGCAAGGGTTTTTTTTTTTTTATAAAAAAGAAAAAAAAAATGCACAGAAATACGCGGGAATGAGTAAACGGCATTTTTTTTTTTTTTTTTAGGTAGAGGGAGGGTTTTCTACGTGAAGAGGAGTTTAGGAGTTGTATATAAATATTAAGGATGGAGTTCAGGTGTATATACTACACAAATATATATATACATATATAGAAAAAAAATACTTACCATATAGTTATCCCTACAATCAAACACAGTACTAGAATTAGACATAGTCCAGGAGGTTGAATAAAAGTTTTGATTTTTTTTTTCTTTTTTCTTTTTTAAAGAGACCTGATGATATAAATTAAAAAAAAAAATCAATTCAGCGAGGGCTTGGTTAAATTTCCAGTTAAGTTGAAAAAAATGCTTATTTTGTGGGTTCCAAGAGCAAGTAGTTTTTGTTTTTTAAAAAAAAGGCGCTTAAAGTTTTTGTTTTTTTTTTTTTTTTTTGTTTTTCTTACTTTTTTTTTTTTTTTGTTATATATTTATATGTATAAATAAACTGCCTTTCCTCGCAGCCGTTTCTTCAGCGAGTTTGTACAATCCGCTCGGTGTGGCGTATATATACATGTAGAGGGCGTGGCTTCCTCCGGCATCAATGGGCGGAGCTTAAGAACGTCATAGAAAAATGGTGAATGGTTGATGAGAATGGGGGTGATGGGAAGAAGGAATTCTGAAGTGTTAAGAGAGAGAGGGAAGGAAGGCGAGGAAAGGAGACGAAGAAGAGATGACAACAATAGAGAGAGAGTGAGGTTTTTTTTATTTATTTTTGGAAACTCCAACTATATATATAATATATATATATGTATACATACACATGACGCTCACACAAAGTTCGCGCGGTTACAGAAAAATCCAGTTGGGGGTTTCCAAAAATAAAAAAAAACAACCTCCTTTTTATTACCTGTTCAATATATAATATATATATATATATATATATATTATAGATAATATATATATATATATTTACATATATATTTATTATATTATCTTTTCTCCCTATATATATATATATATATATATATATATATATATATATATATATATTATAGATAATATATATTATATATATTTATATATATATATATATATATATATATATATTATTATATTATCTCTCTCTCCCTATATATATATATATATATATATATATATATTAAATATCTATATGTAATTGTGTGTACGTATATATACTATATTTTTACATATGTTATATATGTATATCTATATATTATATGTCTATGTGTACGTATATATATCATTTCATATATATATATATATGTGTGTGTGTGTGTGTGTACGTATATATATATATATATATATATATATATATATATATATACTGTGAAAATATGAGATATTGCCCAAGTCTGTATGTGTGTGTGAGTATATATCCCTGTGTGATAAATAACGTTATGTGATATATATATATATATATATATATATATATATATATATATATATATATAATGTATGACAATCAAAATGCGTGTTAGTATAGATACGAATATATGAGACTGAGAAAATGTGTGTAAAAAGTCTATATATGTATATTTGAAACATCTTTCTTTTCTTTTACTATTTACATATGCATAAAGACGTATGTGAGTATATATATATATATATATATATATATATATATATATATATATATATATATATATATATATATATATATTTGGTTGGATAGATGTTAGCTCTATCTGTGATATTGAGCGCTTTCTAATAAGTACCATGTATATAATATATAAATAATTATACATATATTTATTTATTTATATTTATATACACTTTTCACATATATATATATATATATATATATATATGCGTGCGTGACGCACATGGTGTGGATCAAATTCACTATATAGTACTTATTGGTCTACTTGGTGCTTGTTGACCATTACTACCACATGACATGTGCTCAACTTGTATTAACACTAACAGAGTATATAAGTGTGTATTATTGTATATATGTTATTGTTATGTATGGTATGTAATTGAATTCGAATATGTTTTGAAAATACTACGCAATAAAGTGTGTACACTAAACATATTCTTGTGTACGCGTGTGTGAAACATACATACGCACGTATTTTTCTTCTACTGTCGCTTACATTTGTACATTATAAACAAAAAATAACCCCACAACCTTCTTGAACACGAAGGAAGGGCCGGAGGGTACTCGGCCGAAACGTTGCGGTGGGGACGGCGTGTCTTTGGGGTGGTGGAGAAAAGCAACAACAACAAATGAATCTTCTCAAAGCAAAAGCACTTCCAATGAGTAAATAACACCGCCGAACAAAATTCAAACGACTTTAAAGTCTTCTTCTTAAAACACGTGTTAGACATTTTAGACATGAGTATAAATAAATAAACTAAAAAAAAAAAAAATATTATGTAAAAATTCACATATATAAATAAAATATATTTGTAAAGACAACATAATTAAAAAAAACAAAACAAAAAAAACACCTTTCTTTACCAACGCGTTTCGTCCTCTGGAGGGAGTTTTTTTTTTTTTTTTAATCAAGGTAAATGTGGAGATTTTATTTCGAGATTTTTAACGAAAAGAACATTTCACGATATTTTTTCTCTACCTTTTGCTGGCAAATAATGTTTTCTTTTCTCTTAGATAGATAGATAGATAGATAGATAGATAGATAGATAGATCTTATTAATTGCCGTGTTTAAAAGTAAAAACAGCTATGTCTCTTACACGAAAACACGTGTATCGACTCAACAACGTTTATGAAATTGTACTAAAAGTACAATATTGATAGGTGCGTGTATATTAATAAATAATAATAATATATTAAATTAAAATTGTTCACTCTTGGAAATCTTTATTTTTTACTGGTTGACCGTTTTTGCCAAAATATAAACTTTGTTATTGTTTACACACACACACACATACATATAAAGAGATAATCTGAATCAGTATGTACAAAGAGATCCGCTTATACATAATGACTAACAGTTTCACGCCTTAAGCGCTCATCAGGTAGAAAAGAAATATAGGAACATGGTGATATATATATATATATATATATATATATATATATATATATGTGAAAATATATAGAAAATAGGAAGGAACTGGTTAGGTAAATAATCCAAAGACCCTTAGTATTTTAGTTATTATTTTTTTAAAAAAAATGTGTGTGTGTGTGTGTGTGTGTGTGTGTGTGTGTGTGTGTGTGTGTGTGTGTAAAGAGAGAGATAACTTTTGATTCGTGAAACTGAAGCACCATGGCATGTTCTTTTCAATGTCCACACTGTTCACACACACATATATGATATATATATACATCGACACGCGGTCTGTCGCTAGTCTTGATGTCATGAACTCTTTCCCCATAAAAATAACAAATTTCAAACAATGTACAACATCCATACTTCTTACGAGAAGTTTTTGTTTAAATCGGTACATGTGTCTGAGAAGACATCACTGTCTTTTTTAAACCAGTGTAATAATGTGTGTGTTAATATGTTCGTTTAATGTAAACATTAACTTTATATATGTATTTTTATACATAGATGTTAAATACAAAAAAGAAAAGAAATGAAAAAAGAAAGAAAAGAAAAGAAAAAAAAAGAGAAAGAAATGAAATGAAAAAAAAAAGCCTTTTTTATTGTGGCGGTTAGCGAACTTGTCTCCTTTTTCTTTCTATCAAAGAGAAGCGATCCTCGGCCATATCTGGATGGCCGACAGTGGGTTAACGGCTAACAAGCTAGTTGTCTATAATATTGTTAATACAGTGTAGTGAGTTCGATCCTCACAGGGTACACTACGGTTATGTCTCTCCTTCGTACAAGTCTAAAAAAAAAATCTGTATATAAAACAAATTAGTATACAACACATTATCGAGATCGCATTTTTCCACGCGTCAAGGTGACAATATTTACGCGGCACTTTACCCATCGTAAAAAAAAAAAAAAGCCCTATAAAACTAGTGCTGAAAAGTTATATGGTCTGAACCACTTCCCGAAAATATCAGCACCCCATCGTGAGATAATTTGGTGGGTGTTTTCTTTATCTTTGTTTTTTTTAATTTTCAAGAAGACAAGTCGTCTATTTTTGAAATCTATGTTCCATTAACCGACTCAAACTGAAATGCCGATACAAATGTTATTTGTCCCATAATATTTGGTACATTTTTGGTGTATGAAATGGGTATGTATGTCACAAGAATTATGGGACATGTCTCATAAAAATAGCCGGTACATTCTCTAGCGTGTGAAATACATATGCAAATATTGCAATAATTATGGGATATACTATTTGTCCCATAAAATTTGGTACATTTGGTGTATGAAATACGTTATGCAAAAATGTCATCATATAGGACAGATTTTTTTTTCCTCGTGTGTTTTCCGTATTTTTGCTTTAGATTTTAGAATATATTTTAGGATCGAACTTCACTTGCTGTGCGTAAATTACTATAGTTCGGTCATCACTAGAAATACCCTTATATACGTAGCCTTGTGCCAGGTTGAAATAAACAAAATAGAAAAATAATGTGACCTTTTGGATTTTAAATTATTTCACTGTGGAAAGAAGATAGATGTTCACTGAGCTTCCTACTTTAGTGGCCTTATGTCAGACTAAAGCTTCGGTATTATTTGACAACACTTTTCAATTAAATAAATAACAAAAGAAAAATAAGTTGTTTTATTAATTTAAATTTCTTGCGAGGCAAATATCTCGACAAAACAAACAAACGTAATTTGGCGCTATGGTATGGATATTTATGTAGCTACCATACTGATCTTTAGCTGACACAAGGGCACGCTTACAGAGTACTCAGTCAAGATTGAAGACTACATTACAAGACTGTTATAGGTAATGTGGTTTAGGAATCACTAGCTAGCCGATAACTTAGGCTATCCCTGTGAATGACACACACACACACACACACACACACACACACACACACACACACACACACACACACACACGCACGCACCCCCCACCACCACAGGAAATATATATTTTCACAGCAGGCATGTGAAAATGTTTCCTGTGACAGTGAAAAAAATATTTGCGCAGCACAATCTTCCTTACGTACTTCGTTTTAATTCAAATATCCAAACGGATATAGTCCCCAACGTCACACAACAATATATATATATATATATATATATATATATATATATATATATATATATATTTAAATAAATAACTTATTCGATTTAAATAACTGTATTATATATATATATATATATATATATATATATATATATATATATATATATATATATATATATATAATAAAAAGGCTTAAACACTAATATTCCATGGTCATAATTTATTTCATTGGAATCGTAAATACGATCCAATTCATCAGACCTACAAATAAAAAAATAATATATATATATATATATATATATATATATATATATATATATATATATATATATAAGCAGTTGTACACAAAAATAATATATATATATATATATATATATATTAGCTCTATCTCTGATATTGAGCGCTTTTAATAAGTACCGCGCATATAATATATAAATAATTATACATATATATATTCATTTATATTTATATACACTTTTCACACACACACACACACACACACACACACACACACACACACATATATATATATATATATATAAGCAGTTGTACATAAATCGAATAAGTTATTTAAATGTCGCTAAGTCAGGCACAAGATCATAGTAGGCAAGTACCTGTGAGAATTGAAATCTCTACTTTTAGCAAGTTAGTTTCCGTTAGCGGTTTGCTAACCATTGTGCTACTAAGGGTTGGGCTAGTTGTAGAGATGGATCTAAAAGAAAAAACAACTAACCCCCCTCCCTCAAAAAAGGGGGGGTGTTTAATTTAAATTGGTGTTTTATTCATTTACTACCATATAAACCGTAAAAAATTACATTGACACATGAACTTTTTCTTTTACTGTTAGATCGCCAAATAGAAAGCCCAAGAGACACTCAAGGTAGAGCGTTACTGAGTGAGATTGTGGTAAGGGTGAAGGAAAGAGGGATTAAGAAAGGTACATTATATAGGAAAGATATCGGTGGAACCTGTACTTGAAGAAATCAAGATTGTAGTTTTCAGGAAAGCATCCGCTCGGGAGTTCCACAAAGTGATAGTTCTGGGGAAGAAGTTGTCTGACTGGAATCTGCTTTTTATCAAAAGAACACAAAGGTTCGCCACCATAAACACATCATGCTGGGGGGGGGGCTGTGAAGGCCTGAACTGGTAGAACTAAGGAATGTAACTCGTCCTGACAATTGCCATAGTAATAGCGAAAGAAATAGTGAGAGACTAGCAGCATTTCGTCGGTTGGATAAGGGTTGCAGGGAAGAAGAGAATTCATCACTCACAAGGTCGCGTAAAGCGCTTTTGAACTCTTTCGAGGCTGGACAGTAAGGACTGGGCATCACCAGTCCGGATATAGCAGTGATACTATATTCTTAGTCTGATCTGGCTCTTGTAAAGACACAGCATGGCAGAGGGTGTTAAGGTATTTTTTTTTTTTTTAGGGGCGATACAAGGAAGCGACCTTTTTTGCAGCATCTTTTGTGAGGGCACGAATATACGCGTTCCATTAGAGAATAACCTTTAGCCCAGATAGGCGTTCAGGTCGGTAGTGAACGTTAGACCCATTAATATGGACTGGGCATCTGGACTTCCTTCTGTCCCAGATCAAAGCATTGTTTTGAAATAAATACAGTAAATGATCAGAATGTAGTATCTGTTCATTCTATGGAAGGTTTTGTATATGTGTAAGTTGTATAAAAGAAAGTGTATTTCACATCCCATCTCAACGTTTTTTTTATAGCAAACATCGACTTAAAAATGTTTTTAACGACCGCCCGCTCGCACACACACACACACACACACATATATATATATATATAACGGGTGTAACAGCAAAATTGTCCAAATCGTGTAACAGCAAAATTGTCCAAATCGTGTAACAACAAAATTGTCCAAATCGTGTAACAGCATGGGGTAATTTTCCATCCCCAAAAATGTTTAATATCTAAAAAAAAAAACACCCCCCACAAAAAAAACACTAAAGTAATTCAGTTCCTTTTTTCCAGATTATCAGATAAGACGTTTAGCCATCTTGACACCATTTGTCGTAAGAATCGCCGTAAAAGCGTTCGCGTTATTCAGCTAGAAAGGGAACAGGTTCAAATTATTTTGTGTCAACCCCACTCTATCTTCCCGGTTGAGCAATGGTGAGAGGAAAAAGATCATTTAGCCTTTCAGTAATGATACGAACATTCATACTCTGGTTTCCATCTTCAAAGTCCATTCAAGAACCATCAAGAAAAAGGTGAATAAGTTTAAAAAAAAAAAAAGAGGGAACACTAGAGAAGAAAACTGAAGCAGGTGGTCACAACAGGAAGAGGGATCATCGTTTCAACTTGGAGCTAAATACATTCTTATTGTTCAAGTAGAGACCAATAGTATTATAAAAATCTTGGAGAATTCCAGTAAGATATCTTTAATCATTTCTAAGATAAAAATCTTAATCCCAAAATTGGACAATTTTGCTGTTACATCCGTTATATATATATATCAGGAGCGCAGATTTATATTTTGATAAGATTCGATAGCGGAACTCTCAAGAATTTTCCGTTCAAGTTACTTTCACTTTTGGCATTCTTTAGATTAAAATTATAGGTTGAATTTATTTCTAGGTAAGACAAAGAAAAATTGATAAATTGTTCTGTTAAATTTACTCAATGTATAGTGAGATGTTGTGACAGTTTATTTTATATATTACTTGAACATTATTTTTAATGCATACACGTGTTTGAGTAGACGTCCTGTTTATTTATTAAACAGTATTCATTTATTTTCATCTACCGGTCTGAATATTCGAGAAATCTTATATATGCGCTCATATTTTTCTCTAATAAGATTTCTCGAATATTCAGGCAGGTAGATGAAAAGAAATAAATATACTGCTTAATAAACAAACAGGACGTCTACTCAAACACGTGTATCCATTAAAAATAACGTTTTAAGTAATAAAAACCTGTCGGAAAATAAATAAAATTCATCCCCCGTTCTTTAAGCACACTTACACACGGATATATATATATATATATATATATATATATATATATATATATATATATATATATATATATATTTCACAAGCAAATTCGTTCTTTAGTGGATGCTCCACACGCGAACTCTTGTACCAGGCAGTCTAAAGAAAAAGAAGGCAAATTAAAAAAACAAAACAAAACAAAAATGCGTCAATTTAATTTAAGAGCAATTTTTACAAGAAGTTAAATGAGACAATCGACATTTCATTACAGGTTTTTTTTTTAATAGGTAAATTTAATTAAAGTTATTTAAATATTTATTTATTTGTAATCCCTCACCTCAATAGCACTCCAGCCCCAACCAAAACAAGAAAGGTATGACGTGCTCGGAATATGAGGTCAGGTAAGAAAAGATGAGTCTTTTGTATTTATTTTGTTTCCTGTTTATTTAACATCATATTTGCGAAATAATTTTTTTTCTTTTACTTTTCGGGATTTGTCTGATAACAAGTGTCACCAACCCGTTCTCTGTTAAAGCGAATTGTACATATGAAGACATGAAGAAACGGAAATAGATAGATAGATGTGAACAGACTGAGATAGATAGATAGATAGATGGATAGATAGATAGATAGATAGATAGATAGATGTGAACTGACTTAGATAGATAGATGTGAACTGACTTAGATAGATAGATAGATAGATAGATAGATAGATAGATAGATAGATAGATAGATAGATAGATGTGAACAGACTGATAGATAGATAGATAAACAGATGAGATGATAGAAGATATGAACAGACTTAGATAGATAGATAGATAGATGTGAACTGACTTAGATAGATAGATAGATAGATGTGAACAGACTTAGATAGATAGATAGATAGATAGATAGATAGATAGATAGATAGATGTGAAAACAGACAGATAGATAGATAGATAGATAGATAGATAGATGATAAATAGATGTGAACAGACTTAGATAGATAGATAGATACATAGATAGATAGATAGATAGATAGATAGATGTGAACAGACTTAGATAGATAGATAGATGATAGATAGATAGATAGATAGATAGATAGATGATGAAACAGATAGATAGATAGATAGATACATAGATAGATAGATAGATAGATAGATAGATGATAGATGATGAACAGACTAATAGATAGATAGATGGATAGATAGATAAACAGACTTAGATAGATAGATAGATAGATGTAAACAGACATAGATAGATAGATAGATAGATGTAAAGAGACTGAGATAGATAGATAGATAGATAGATAGATAGATAGATAGATAGATAGATAGATAGATAGATAGATGTAAACAGACCTAGATAGATAGATAGATATGAACAGACTTAGATAGATAGATAGATAGATAGATAGATAGACAGATAGATAGATAGATAGATAGATAGATAGATAGATATGAACAGACTTAGAAAGATGTGAACAGATTGAGATAGAGATAGATAGATAGAAAGAACAGAGGTAATAGACATAGACAACAGCTACAACACTAACAAACATAGATAAAAGAGATAGATAGATAGATAGAACAGTCATAAAATCAGACTATATAGACATATAGATATCCTGTTTAGACATTGACTATAATGCAATCTTTCATCAATATAGCACGGGCGAAATTGATGATGTAATCATTGTTCATGTTGTGTGTGATTTTTTTTTGTTTTGTTTTTGCCGCCTCCGCCCCTACCTACCTACCTACCTACCTACCTACCTACCTACCTACTTCAGTGAACCACGAATTAGGTCTGAATGAAATCGAGACGTATTTCAACCTTGAGAAATATTTGAAGAAATTGTAGGACAACGACGGTGACAGTCGTGCCTGTAGTTATCGGAGAGTTGGGAACGGTCCCGAAGAGCTCGCGTTGAGGGACGATTGAAAATTAGATAAAGAACTGGACCCAATGTCACGATGGCATTGCTTGCAAACGTCTTTCTTTAATAACGAAAAAAAAAAAAAAAAGGGAAAAGAAAAAAAACAGTCGAGAGGAGACTTTATCTTATTTGTCGCGTCAATCTCCAATTAAAACCTCTGTGAGAAAAATTCTATGAATAAAATAAATAAATAAATAAAAATTTAGGAAATATTCGTTCAGATAATAATAATTCGTTTTCTCACTTGCCCGCTCACCGGAACGGATTTTTGACCAAAATTTTCCCAATTATTAACTAAACTTCTTTGTCGATTTCACTCGTCAGACGGAAATTTGAAAAATAAATACATTTTATATTTTATTTATTATTATTAAATAAATAAATAATATGAAGAAGAAAAAAAAAAAAAAAGCGACAAGAAATAAATATCAGAAATTGATTTCATCAATAAGTTTTTTTTTTTTTTTTTAATTGCAACTGATATCGTTTTTACGTTTTATCAAGAAAAAAATTACTACAATTAGAAACAAATAAAGCCCGGTCCTTTTTTTTTTTTTTTTAGAAACGGTATTTTTATTATAAAATGAGAGCTTCATAATTATTGGCACTCCCATATTTATAGCCTTACGCCAGTCTTAAAAAGTAAGAAATGATTTTTAGCAACAACTAGTGTAATCCAATCAGTGCATACTGCATCATACCTACAGTGAACTTTTTCTGGACGAAGATTTCTGTGTAAAAAGAGATCCCTTGAAGACAAGTTAGCAACACCATTGTTTACGTTTCATACAAATGGGTGACCTTTTAATTTAAGGGGGGGGGGAAGAAAGAAAAAAAAAAAGAAGTAAAATCCTTGTCAAAACCAAAAGAAAGACGAGGATAGGATCCCCTGTAAAATGAAAATTGTTTCGCAATATCAAACTTTGACATTAAAAACCGTTTTTTGTATACTTTTAAAAATTGTAAGTTCAGTCAGTGTAACGTTGTCACGGAAATTCAACCGTTGGTAGAACGAGCGAGGATCGAACGCACTCAGTCTTGTTCTATATTGGCAACATAAAAGTAGTAACTAATACACACACACACACACACATATACATATATATACAAACATACACACACATATATATTCATATACACACATTTATATACACACACATATATATATATATATGGACACATACACACATATATATACGCACATATACATATATACACACACATACACACATATATATATATATACATACACACATATATAAATACACATTCATATATATACATACACACACACATATATATATACACTATTTTATTCCGAATAATATATTGTACATACTCAGAAATATATATGCACACACACATACGGACACACACACACTTATATATATTTCTCTCTTTATCCACAAATGAGTAGTGAATAATTTTCTGCTTGAAACACTTCCCAAAAATTAAGCAAAAAAGTTTAGTTAAAAAAAAACAACTATCTATCTATCTATCTATCTATCTATCTATCTATCTATCTATCTATCTATCTATCTATCTATCTATCTAATTCTGTTCACTCACATCTGTTTCAGTTTATTTATATGTAAAATTCGCTTTAAAAGAGAACGGGTTGGTGACACTTGTTATCAGACAAATCCCGAAAAGAAAAAAGAAGAAAAAAATTATTTCGTCGATATGATATTAAAAAATAGATAAAAAAAAAAAAGACACTGATCATGCTTCAGCTTATCTTACCTGTCTTTTATATTCCGAACACTTTTCTTGTTTTGGTTTGGGCTGGGGTAGTGTTGGTGGGGGTGGGCTATAAATAAATATCTAAATAACTTTAATAAAATTTACCTATAAAAGAAATGTGTAAATAAAATGTCGACTGTCTGATTATATCTTCTTGTAAAAATTGGTCTTGAATTTAATTAACGCATTTTTTTTTTTTTTTTTTTAGTTTGACTTCTTTTTCTTTAGTCTGCCGTTTTCATAGGTTTTAGGATTTATTTTTGTCTGGCACAAGACTTCACATGTGGAGCACCTTCTAAAGAACGAACTCTCTAATTGCTTGTGAAATTAATTTAGCAATCTAATCGATGTTACCAGTTGAGTAACTAGTCAAAAGCACTGCTTTGAGGCATTCAAAATACGAAACCGTGTAAATAAGAAAAAACAGGATACAGAATTCATAGCTTTGTATTATTGTTAATAATACTATAAGTGTATATTTACGAAAATTAGCTTAGTCTGGCACAAGGCCACCAGTAAAAAGCGCCCAATGATGATAAAGATACTACGCACTGCTACACTTAAACACAGTGCCCATCTCAGTAACCAATAAGAAATGGCGGGAGATGAACCTTACGAACACGATGTACAAATTTCCGTATTTTGTAAACAAAAGTCAGTTTCTCATAAAATAAATTTAAAGTTTCGTTGTAAGAAGAAACGTTGGAAAAAAAAATCTGATTTCGAACCACGGATGTTGCCTTCAAAACAAAACAAAACAAAACAAAAAAATATAAATTAAATAAAAATTTAAAAATAAATAAAAAAAAGATAAAAAAAAAAACGATTTTTAATAACTAGACTAGCGAGGGTACTGAAACTTTTAAAATTTCTACCCACCCGATGACAATGATGAAGAAATATAAATTAATTAAGATAGAATTTATTTATTAAAAATACACTTGTAAAGCCTTTACAATAAAGGTGTCTTTTTCGAAAAAATTGCGGAAATATTTCTCCTTATTTTTATTAATTTTGGCAGATAAAATTGTTTATTGTTAGAATAATTTATGACTTGCAACTATTTAAAACTGCAAAATAAACATTTTTACGCAACTTTTATTTATTAAATTATAGAAAAATATTATTAAGAAAAATAGACACAATTTTTATTTTAAAATAAAAAAAAAATTCCCTGAATTATTCAAATGCAAAAAATAAAATCTTTACTTATAGTACCACGTGTGCAAAAAAAATAAAAAATAAAACGAAAACAAAATTTCAAATAATTTAAATACGATGTTTTTTGTTTTGTTTTGTTTTCTTTCATTAAAATGTTATCAATTAATTAATAAAACAGTTTCATTGTTTAAAAGGTCAGGGTTGTTTTCTTGTCTTAGTTATTTGTTTCGGCTAAAAATATATTCTTCCAGTCTCTCTTCTCAAAATCTAAACACCGGTTTTTTAGAATTTGCACACTACTCCCCCCACCCACTGCCATTGACAGCTCCGTGCATTGTTTTTTCTCTTGTTTAAAGATAAGTAAAATTTTGGGGGGTACATAATGAGGAAAGAATGCTTGGCTAATCTAAAACTCTCAGGACACGTCGAAGGTTTGGAGCAATCAGACAAAAGAAAAAAATAAACATAATTGAATTGAAAGTTCTTTTTTGTGCCAACAGTTGAAGGAACTAGCAGCACAAAAAATAAGAAAGGGTTATAAGGGGAAAGTTTTGGAAGCTGTGGAGAGCCTTGATCGCTCACGATCTAGGGTCGGTCTTCTTGGGTGAGTACCTCATGCTTTTGACTTTGAGTCTTTGTTTCAAAAGTAACCAAACATATATATATAATTAAGTAGTTGCATAATCCATACAGGATCCAACTCTTATAGTTGTTTATCTTTTGCAGGCCCACGACACAAAATGTTACACAAGGCCGAGCTTCGAGGGAAAACCGTAGAAAAATTGCTCAAGTCTCCTCAGCACTTCCCCTTTTTGGGGATGCTACAAGCGTCGGGTAATGACCCCAGCTCCCTCTCAAAGGAGAAGTACTGCCTGGAGGGGATGGCTCCCTGGGGCTTGAACAGATTTTCTGTCCCTGTAAATAGCAAGACTACATATGTCTAATTTTCCTTTTACAATTCTTTCATGAGCAAAAAAAAAAAAAAAAAAAAAGATTTGTGTCCCATTTAATTTGGTCGTTCCAACGCTTGGGAGGTCTATCCCTTGATATGATAATATATGTGGAGATATATATGTATATATATATACATACATACATACATACATACATACATACACCCAGACAAGTTAATGTCCCTTACTAACCAATTTAGTCAGGAGGCTTTCCTTATGTTGCTGCTACTACTACTAAACAATTCTTTGCTCCTTCCATAAACGACACTCACTTGTTGATAGAGGGTATATAGATTTATTTAATATAATAAATTAACTTTTTCTTCTTCTTTCAGTTGCTATTCTTTTTCACAAAGACCACAAACAATTCCGTTTTGGGGCGGAGGCTACTTTTTAGGCGACTGTGGTAAATTTTCTTCCTTAATTTTTTTCTATGTCCAGCTATTTATTTTTTTTTGTGACCCTCCTAGTCTGTTTAGGTTGAAAGGTCACGTGAACATCACCACGAAAAGACCGGATGATATATCCAAAGCACTTGTCAGTTTTTATTATCGATGCGTATTATTAAGAATAAATTAAAAAAAAAAAAAAAATCAACTTTCTAATTAATTAATTTACGACCGCCTTGACCTTTAACCAAGGTAATCCACATTTTTTTTTAAAACCAAAAGCCTGTCAACAATTCGAATTTAAAATTAATAAAAAGTTTTTATTTATTTTTTAACTTTTACGTTACCTCGTCCTTTAACCTATTCAATTCGTTGATCAATTTTTAAAAGTAGTCCGAATGCATGACTAGTG